AGCACGCCGGGTTCTCACCGGACCAGGCTCTCACATCACCAAGCGCGAAGCGCCGTGAGATATTCGGCGAGTCGCATGAAGGGTGCGCTGCATCCTGCTAAGGTGTTCGGCATCTTGTGCTTACTTCCTTGCGTACGGATGACAGCTGCGCATGACTTAATTTACTTTCTGGAGCTTTCACTTCCAGAGACCATTGACCTCGCGAGAGAGGGGCGCGAAAAAAGAAAGCAAACGTTCGTGATGGAGTCCATTACTGACCACGCCGAGCAACACTAATGCGTAGTCAGCTTTGGAAATCGAAACAACGCTCTGACGATCCAGGCTCATTCACAAAAAATGTGCCCCCCTGCCCCGCCCTGCTCAACTCTTGGTCAAGGCATATGACCTCCAAAACACCTGCAAACATTGCGGACGGACGCACTCTGCCGGTGTACCTAAATGCTCGTGGAACTCTTCCTTCACGCATCGGCACGTGCGAGGTGTGCCCAATTAGCAAGCACAAGAAGTCATCAAGCGGGGGGACAACGCGAAGCCGCCCGGGCATCCCCGGGTGAAAGGAGAACAAAACAGAGCCGCTGTCCCGAACAGCGCACTCCATACGTGGAAAACACCACCACGGGCACAGACCACAAGAAATGAACGCGCGAACAAGGTCGATCTGGCCGGCTGCCGACTTCAAAGAAAACAGAAACGCCCCCCCCCGACCAAATCATGCCTCTATTTTCATTACTGCCCAAGCATTTTCCGGAAGGCGTTCTTCTCCTCGTCCGATCCCGCCTGGGCCTGCGCCATGAGCAGGGCTCGGTTGTCGTGGAGCGTGATAACGTGGCCCGTTTGGAGGTCCTGCACGCACAGGTAGACCCATTCCCCCGACTCCATCTTGTTCGACACCTGTGGCCGACGACGGCGGCCGGGAGAGGAGTGAAAAAAAAAAAAATGCGGGTGCTAATCATGCATATCTCAAAGCCGGGATAAGCCGGTTCTTGCTTACCACCCTCTAAAATCCGATACCTCCGACAACGGTCTCCTCCGTGATGCATCTTCGTTCAACCCATATCAAGCGGGCACGGCTGTGGTTGGCACGAATGGATTGCAACGCCTTATCTACACCCATAGCGCGCAACCGTGACCACCCTGCTCTGGACATCATGCCGCCAACGCCTAGATGGAGGCTCCGCATGGATGCTCTGTACGCGCCCGAAAAGGGCAACACCACGGCCGCTCTCCCAACCGACTCCAAATGACACTAAGGGCACCACACACGCACACACACCCTATCGGTAGAACCCCTTGATAAGAGAGCGTGTTCCCCGCCGCTTTTATCCCGCTACCAGCGGGACTGATGTTGTTTTCATTGGTCAGCCGGCCATAGCTCAGTCGATGCAAACAAGCAAAAAAAAAGGACGCACCCCATACACACACTGACGTGGTCAATACTAGCTCAAAAAAGCAAGCACCCCGCACAAAGCGTCTCTTCATAGGTCAGCTGGTTAGCACAGTCGATGCTAATTACCGACAAACACGCGCACACGCACACACCTCGGCGTACGCCATGCCGTGGCCGTGCGGGCCCTCGACGTTGAAGCGGACCCTGGTTCTCTTGCTCTTGTCGATGGGGTCCTCATGGTCCACGTGCTCCACGAAGTTCCTCCGCCCTTCCCGGTGCCGGTTGTTGTCCCGCCCGTACACCTTCAAAGGCGTCCCGAAGTGGTTCGCGGTCTGGACCCCCCGTGTGCGTAGGGGTTTCAGGCAGGGGTGCGTGGCGGTCAAGAGGGGGGACAACGAAGTGAATGCGTTCGTTAGTTCTGGTGCAAGGATGGTGGCGAGTGATGGAAGTTTGTACGGGGGGGGGCGGGGGGCGGGCCAGAGGGTAGCAACCACCCTGTTGTTTGCGAACGACCACCACCGCTGTAGATGGCTGCCACCACTTTATGTTCAGACACCTTTTGTTCGTATGCACACGTTGCTGGTACATGTGTGATAACGGAGCATAATGTAGAAACTGCCTGTGGGGAAAAATAGCTGGACTGAAGCCGCCGGAGTCGTAAAACCATAACATCAACATCGCGTGTATAGCTCGTGAAGGCCGTCGTGAACTAAAAACAACTCTTGCTTGGCGTGAGTACTCGAGAGCCCGGGCCTCCGGCCTTGAATAAGGATAAGTCTAGCTCCCGCGAGAGCACGAGGGCACTCAGCACCATTGGCCCCGATGATACTGAGAGGGTCGACTCATGAAAAAGTCACCCACGGCCGAAACATCCTCAAGGTTCAGTCGGCTTGCTTCCCACATCGGGAACTGTTTTGGGGGTCTGTTATTTCTTCTCTACTGTCGTTGCTTGTCCTACGCCGTCATGCTCTCCCATCAACCACTCCGATTACAGGGCAGCGTCACGCGGATGACATTCCTCTCTCCCCGAGGCCCCTTCCACGTTCCTTTTCCTGTGCTCCCGCTTGAGTTGCCACCAGACGGATGCGACGAGTGTTCGGAAGTGGCCCTATTTCTCCAGTGAACATGTACAGTAGTAGGCCGAACCTTGGTGCGAATACTCTAGCACTTTTCGTATCAGACTACAGAGTACGATGCGCAAGATACCCCCCAACCTGGACGCATTTTCAAAGCCTGACTACTATACGACGTAGAACATGCCGAAATCAGATGGGGCGATTTCGGAAAGCTCTCGACGAAGCGTTTCTTAAGCCACCATTTTCGCGCCCGTGGCTCCTTTTCCTGCCGAGTAATCGAGATCTGAAAATCGGTCCAGCAGGGGAGTGACATCTTACGCAACCCACGGACGGTACTTCGTGTCATCCCGGGATTGGAACCCTCGTGTCCCACAGGTTTGTTTGTGTGCCGACAACAAAACACGGGCGGTGCATAAGAATGCAGAAAATGAATCCTAGTCTCCGGCAGGTGGCGGCGGCGTTTCGCCATCACACGACTCACATCAGGGTCGGCTTGAAACACGTCGTGGGCGTGCGACATGATGGACTGGGGCGCCATGTGGCTCGGCCAGAGCTCCGTGACCGTGGCGCCGAGGGCCGCAAGGACCAGGCCGAGGACGCAAAGGCCGGCCACGGTCTTGACGATCGATATCTTCTCCTCGGGCTCCGGCTCGTAGTCGGCGTCCTCGTACTGCTGCTCCTCTCCTTGCTGCTTCTGCTGCTGCTGCTCGCCTTTCGAGTCGTCGCCTTTCCGGCTAGCCTTGCTCATCATGCCGCGCTTGCTGCTGCCGGCGGAGAAGGTTTCCGCGGTTGCCCATTGAGGGAGGCGGTGTTGCTGATGTGCCACTGCGGTCGATTGCACCCATCGCAGGCCGCAGGCTTGCCGTCTCCGGAACGGCAATGGCGAAGAGGATGCCGACCAGGTAGCGCCGCGGGCTCCGATCCGACTCAATGGTGAGCAGGAGGTAGTAGTGTACGAGGCGTCGAAGTTCCCGCTGGTGTTGAACGGCGCTGCTGCGCTCGTTGCCGCCGCTGCCTGTTGTGCCCTTGCAGCAGCAGTAGGTCTTACAAGTTGCTGGCCTCTTCTCGCAGACAGAAGTATGGAACGGCGCCCAGAAACCCGAAGCACGCTAGCCAGTGACGACATCACGACCTATGGAAGTAGTAGGCACACGGGGTTGGCAGTGCTGTCGTCAGTGCAGTGCCGCACAGCGAGCACAGGAGATTCCCAGGACCAGGATGGTGTCGAAGGTTCGGGGGCCGTAGGATGGTGCTCCAGGTATCCCCTAGTTGTCGAAGATTCCACCCCAGCCGTATGCCGCCCATGCCAGCATGACGTCATATGTACCACCGTGCACATGCGACGGACCGAGTGTGCATGCACCACCTTGTGCCGGAGGACTGCATATCCCCCGCAACAGCTGCAAGCATCTGCCCACAGCAACAGGAGGAAGTGTAGGAGATGAGCAACTTCTGCTGACTTACCAGGGACCCCAATATTCTTGTCTTGTCCGGAGAAAAATTTATTCCGTGGTTTGCTTTCGGAGACCACCACAAACATCTATCTGGCTTTGGAGGCGGCAGCGAGAGGCACAGAGTCAGAAGGGGAGAGCTAACCTGGACTTCCTGGTGGAACGGAGTTTTCTCGTTGTCTGACTCCTTGCCAGATCCTTGAGGCATCATGCAGGTCCTGAAGCTCAAGAGGTTCCTGAAAAACATCGCTGGAAGGAAGGCAAGTGTTTTTGCCCAAGCAGGAGCAGGCACCAGACCACTAGCAGCAGCAGTGTGAGCGTACATGCAGGCAGGGGGACACGCCCCAGCTGCTGCCTCTGCTGTTGTCACACACAGCAGCATCCACTGCAAGAGAAGCTGGGGTTGTCGACAACAGGAGTGGGTTGCTTACCGCTATAAAGGGACGCATGCTCAACGTAGTTGCAACACATGCGGGCTTCTGAGTCGTGCTGCTGTTAACAAGCAACGCTTTGACCGCGATAGACCTTTGTCTCGAGCCGGTCGTTCTTCTTCTGTGAGATTTTGCGTACTTTCTAAAAAAATGCCGATTGGCCGCATTTATTGGTGCGCAACGGCGGTTCTCACGCGCAACCTCCTACGGGCGCGAATGAGGTGCTCTCGGTTTTGTTCAGCCCCCCGACCGCACGGCCACTGCTGCTGCTGCTGCTGCTCTAGTGCCCCTTTTTTTTCCCGCCAAATGGGAACATGTTTCTCCGGGCGTGTGCAAACAGCAGTTATATATATATATATATAATAGCATGGCATGACCCCCGCAGCAGGGTTGCGTGAAGAGTGAGCGTTCTCACGTTCTCACGACTGGTTATCTGCGAAAGGCTGCGGCTGTGTAGGTGCAAACAGCTGTTCCCTGTCGAGAGATGATCTCAGATGGTGTGTCGAAGTCTTCAAACCGTAGGGTGTTAAACGTCTTCAAACAGCAGTGAGGTTTTATTTTCTCTCCTCCTGCATATGAGTGTTAATATACACGCTACTTCAAGCCGCACGACTGGCGGGCAGTCCATCGTCGTCACGCGATCTTTCTCCTAGAATATCTCGACTCGAGTGAATACCTCCACAATAGATTTCCCCCAAAGTCCCTCGGAAGGTACAATAATTATAATGTGAACGGTTGCCTTACTGTTCGAGTGCTCGTCCCGACTTCAACTCGGATGTGATGTTTTTGTTTGATACTCGTCAAGCGGCTGAATCCTTCAATTCGAAGTACCCCCGCTGGATTTTCGTGTTGACTTACCGCAACCTTCGCCGCAATCGAATTCGTTCTTGTCGTTGTTTGTTGTCTTGAAGTCCCGTCAGTCCACTCCCTCCAAATATCATACTTTTTGCCAAAAGCAGACTTTTGGGAGCGCAGGTCGTTCCCAACTTTACGACTCCCTCTTGGCGAAAGGCGGCCAATCCGTAAGGGTAGCACAAGCCGCCACATAACTGAAGCACCCTAGCGCACTGATTGGCTTGCTGCTTAGGCTTCGGCCAGTACTACGGCGTGATGTGCAGACGATCGACAGCTGAAGCCGGGGGGGGGGGGGGGGGGGGGGGGGGACGNGGGGGGGGGGGGGGGGGGGGGGGGCGAACCTAGGGAACCTACCTAGAACGAAGAGGGTGAATCATAGATCCAGGTTCCAAAAACGAAGGCCATCGAGGGGGCTCCGGGGGTAGCCCCAGGGACAGCCTGAAAACTGCTTGAACGTGCTCCACTGCGCACGTATCACGTATAAATATTCAGCAGCTCTGCTCCAACCTCCTCCCGTACTACGAGAAAAGAAATGTCTGTCCGTACGGAGGGTTGAGGGTTGGGTAAGGGACGCCCCTACGCTCACTCCATGCTTCTTGTTACAAGGTGGCGGTAGGGTGTTTCGCTGTGCTATGTTGGAGGCGGGGAGAAAGGAGTGGGATGAAGCGGGCCGGTTGGGGGGGGGCGCGCGTACTCTTATGTTTTGCATTCCTCAGCGGTTAGAGCATTCACCACGCGTCCTCGAGAGGACGTAGCACTGTTCCCACAGGACCGATCACCGATGGCCAAACGTTACTTCCGCAGGACCGTTGGGCGGGGGCGGGCGGAATGGGGAGGGGGTTCTCAAACACGCCACACCTTACTCCGGTAGAGACCATTATCTCCTACGCATATTATACGTTCCCATAAACAACTCCAAAACTCGGCACACCCACGCCCTCGCTATACCCTTCATCTCGCAGGGTGGTGGCGGTAGCAGCAGCGTGCTCGACCGAGACTTCCGCCACATAATCAAGCAGATACCTCTTGACAACAAGCGCGACCTCATCCTTCAGTACGGGGATGAAGCCTCAAAGCGACGGGCGCAAGCCATTGGAGGGGACGGGAAGGCGGTGGAAGGCGGGATGAAGGTGGGCAGTGCGGGGGAGAGGGGGGGTCTGAGTAGAGGCTCCGTGAGTGAACGGCTATTTTTTGTCAGCCACGTAGGGGGGAATTTTCTACCGACCATTGTAGGTGGCGTTGGGTAGACCTGGGAGCTATGGACTGCATGTATGTGTGAAGGCTCCATGTACGGTGAGCCTACCGTCAGAAGCGCTTACATCAGTAGTGAGACAGGTCCACTACTCTGCTACGGCATGGCGGCGCATGCTTTTCTCATTCAGCTCGCACAAGAGGGAGAGTCGTTCTGCAGTGGCGCCTGACACTAGGCGCATATGGTTATCTACGAGTTAGGGTTAGCCTTCCTGCCCCGCTGCTGGTGTGGTCGGCCTTGGGTCCATTGCCCAGCCGCGAGCCGAGACCGGCCGACATGTATAACGATGAACACTAATCTTGTCCCGCCCTATCCTCCCGCTTCCGCTCGCTCTTGTTGTTGGACTTTCGGGCTTTTGCGGGCTACGTGTCTCGCTTTTTTGTTGCGCGAACATCGGTGATGGTGACGACGGACGTCGTACACAACCATCGATCGCCTGCTGCACGATGACCACATCGAACTCAACGTCCCCACCCCCCGCACGCTTTGCACAACGACAACACTGGCAACATCGACGATGGCAACGCCAACAACAACGCCAACAACAACGTCAACAACAAACAACAACAACAACCAACAACAACTCAAATGTCGCCCCGCACCCCTCCACAACGACTACGGACATGATCGACGACAAAACAATACCACCACCACCACCAACGACAAAGGTCCGGAGCCCACAGGAGTTCGCCGAGGAGGTGGCAATCTGGGCGGAGGACTTCCCCCCGCTGGCCGCGGTTCTCTCCTTGAAGGAGGCCCTGGACAGGGCCAGCGGCCGCTGGATCGATGACTTCAGAGACGCCGACGGGGTCTCCCATTTGTGCGAGGTGGGTTTTGCAGTTGGATCAGGATCAAGATCAGGATCAGGATTTTTTTTTTTGTATTTCGAGGATGGATGTGTATTCAACCCCTTGTTTTCTAACGCGGAGATGACTATTCGGACACACCCCAGCGGTAGCGGCTGTTTCGCGTACAAGCATGTCATTTGATGCTGGATTTTACAAAACATCTTGCTGCAGTACACACGCCCGGTAGAGTAGTGCCAACATATTACGTAAACGCCCAAACGGTATCCTGTGCAGTCGGTACTAAAGGGAGGTGGCGCTCTGCGGTACCAGGTTTTTTTTTTTTACGATATTGAACCCTCCCCCCCCCTCTCCCCATAGTTGTTGGAAGCATTTTATGTTCCTAGAGGGGCGTGCTTCCTACATGCGATTCTCTGGATCATTCCTACTCGATTTTCTGAATAAGCACTCCATGGCGAGTTGCGCTTCGGTGCAATAATTTTCTAGGCGTGGTCGGTTAAAACACTTGTGCTTTGTCCCGCCGGCAATGAACGATAACCAGTACCCCCCCCAAAAAAAAATAGAAAACAGAAAGTAGTGGTGAAATCGTGAAGGTTGCTCCATCTGCGCAATGATTCTGCTTGGTAGAGCACGGAACGACACCAGTCGGAGGGAGGCATTTTTTGTTGTGCTTAAATTTTTTGTTGGGAGGCCCGCAACAACAAGCCCCCCCCCCTGATGATGGTCCGCCTGCAGGTGATGGAAGTGCTCGCTGAGAGCAGGGAGATGCACCTAGAGGAAGGCGACAGCATCAACCCGCAACAGGTGAGTGGGCTAGAGAGACGCCGCCGAAGCTCAACATGGAACATCCTGGAAGGAACTGGTACGATACCATGGTTCACGGCAGCGACCACAAACATGAGCATCTACAACAACGGTCACAACGGTAGACACAAGTTTGTCGGGAACGGGTTGCTCTCTCCGGGCATGCTGAATGAAGGATGGCGGTGGTAGTACAAAGGGGGCTGCATCTTCACGGCAACTGAATTGCCTGACAGGGTCGTGTTGCCACTCAGAGTATTTTCATACGCCGAGACCTCCCCCACCCCCCAGACATCATTCTCCTTGTTGGCACTAGGCTATTCCGGGTGTGGAACGCGAACGGTCCTCCCGCGTTCTCGTCCTCATGGTTTGGCTGAGGGTTCGTCACGCAAAGTGCTACCAGTGTATCCTTGGTCCTGGCCACGCTGACTAGTTACATGCCGTGTGGTAGAGCCAATTCCTTCGTATGTTCAGCCTTGGGCGCACGCTCGCACAGAAGGACCCGCATAACCTCTGGCCCAGGCCAGGTGGAGCAGGTACACCGTGGTACCTGGTAGACCACAGGATAAGCTTGTCGTTCTTTTTTTTTTTAAGTCTTAGCGCACACACTCGCAGAGGAATGCACGCGTCCTTGCTCACGAACAACCCCGATAGAAAAGTAGAAGCTGCTGGTAGAACAATGACACAAGGCAAGCCGTTTCAAGGGCGCCCCTCGCAGGGTGCCGGCGATGAGCGAGCGGACTCTGTGCGCTATGAATTACGCCGTCAGTCGCATGCGGCCGATGGGTTTCCCAGGAACCCGAATGACGTAATAGGATTTTTAGTAAGAGTTTTGAACGTGTGTTTCCCCCCTCCCCCGCCTGCATCTACTCTGACGTCACAACCGCGCAGGTGCCCCCGGAAGAGGTGAAATTGGAGGAGGGGGTGGTGCAGTGCCTGATGGTGCTCTTCAACAAGGAGACGGGGCTGTCCAACCTGGAAGGGAGCTCTACCCTTTGGCCCGTCATTGTGGTGAGCGAGAGACAGAGAGACGTTGAGAGGGGGAAGAGAGAGAGACAGAGAGA